CGGCCCCGCCCCCCCACCAGCCATGATCCACCCACAACTGCCCTCCCCTCTTGGCCTTCTAACCGCCTCTACCTCAGCCCCCGCCACCATGGCTTTGTCCAGAAGAACATCTGGAAGGCCTCCTGGAAGGTCTCCCAGTCTAATTAGCATATTACTCTTTTATTAGTAAAGACTAGAGGCCCGGTGCATGAATTCGTGCAAAGGTGGGGTCCCTTGGGGAGGGACTGCAGGAGATTCCCTGGGTAGCCCTGATCAGGGCCGATGGGGGCTGGCCGGCCAGGGGGAGGGACCATGGAAGGTTACCCGGCCATGGGAAGTTAGCTGTGGGAGTGCACTGACCACCAGGGGGCATCTCCTGCACTGAGCGTCTGCCCTCTGTTGGTCAGTGCATGTCATAGCGACTGGTTGACCTGTGATAATGGTCGCTTGGGAGGTTATGGCTCTACCCCATCACACACGACCAGGGCCCGTGGGGGGTGGTTGGGGCGCTGCTCTCTATCACCCACAGAGCAGGGCCAATCAGAGGGTTGGGGCGCCGCCACTGTCACACTCAGGGCAGGATGGATGGAGAGGTTATGGCTCTACCCCGTCACACACAGAGCGGGGCCCGTGGGGAGGGGTTGGGGCACCGCACCCTGTCACACACAGAGCAGGGCCGATCAGGGGGTTGGGGCGCCGCACCCTGTCACACACAGAGCAGGGCTGATCAGGGTGTTGGGGTGCTTCCCCTGTCATGAACAGAGCAGGGTGGATAGGGAGGTTGTGGCCCCGCCCCCTGTCACACACAGAGCAGCAGGGTGATCAGGGGGTTTGGGCGCTGCCCCCTGTCACGCTGATCCCGGTGCCGGGAGGCCTCACTGCTCCGCTGATCCCAGTGCTGGGAGGCATATTACCCTTTTACTATATAGGATAGAGGCCTGGTGCACAGGTGGGGGCCGGCTGGTTTGCCCTGAAGGGTGACCTGGATCAGGCTGGGGGTCCCCAATGGGGTGCCTGGCCAGCCTGGATGAGGGGATGATGGCTGTTTGCAGCTGGTCACATACCCTTTAGGATGGGGTTCCCACTGGGGTGCCTGGCCAGTCTGGGTGAGGGGCTGAGGGCTGTTTTCAGGCTGGCGGGTGCTCCCAACTGCTCCTTTTTTTCTTTTTTTTTAATTCTGGGCCAGCTTTAGCTCTGAGGCTTGGCTCCAGCTCTTAGGCCTCGGCTGCTGAAAGCAGGTATCTGGTTTGTTTGGGTTCTATAATCGAAACACTGTTTCAACTCCAGCTCTGAGATCCCGGCTGGCTGAAAGCAGGTTTCTTGGGTTTTGTTTAGCTTCTATATTTGTAACAATGTTTCAAACTGCAAGCTCAGAGGCCGGCAGCGGCAGGTGGGGAACGTTGGAGTCCTCCGTCACTGAAGCAAGCAAGCCTCCTGTTAGCTTCAAGCTGCCTGGCTGCCGGCCACCATCTTGGCTGGCAGTTAATTTGCATATCTCCCTGATTAGCCAATGGGAAAGGTAGTGGAGTGACACCAATTTGCATGTTTCTCTTTTATTAGTATAGATATAGATATATATAGATAGATGTATAGATAGATAGGTAGATAGATAGATAGATAGATACTAGTGGCCTGGTGCATGAAATTCATGCATGGGGGGTGTACCTCAGCCAGGCCTGCATCCTCTCACAATCCGGGACCGCTGGCTCCTAACTGCTCGCCTGCCTGCCTGCCTGATTGCCCCTAACCTCTTCTGCCTGCCAGCCTGATCGCTCCCTAAGCTGCTCCCCTGCCGACCCGATTGCCCCCAACTGCCCCCCC